AAGGAAGGAAGGAAGGAAGGAAGGAAGGAAGGAAGGAAGGAAGGAGGATTTATCCATTCATTTATTTCTAGGCCACCCAACCCCAAATAATTCTGAGCAAACAGTAATGCAAGGTAGGATTGTCTGAGTATAAAGCAGACCCAACTGGTCTTGAGTTTTAAGAATCCATGCCAATCTCCCGCTATTGGAAGAGGATTTGTTACAGTCCCTTGCCAATGAGCAAAAGGGAACGTCTCATAAAAGTTTGTTCTTTTATCTTCAGAAAAAAATGGGGAGGTAGGTTATGAGACAGGATTCTTAAAGCTTTCTTAGTTTAAAGAGGTTTTGAATGTTAGTTTCTCCAGGCCCAGCACCATCTTGAAATCTAGGAATGCACAATGTGGGACCCCAAGGGCCCCTGACATCCCCCAAAATGACCTCCAGAGCACATCTAAACCTTGCTATCCAATTGCAGTTTTGACCATGACAAAGAGGAAAAAACTATGTAAACATTTGAACAAAGTGTATTAGTTGCACTTAACTGTAATCTTAATTTTAATCTAATGAAAATCAGATAGAGTTAACTCCTTCTTTGTCACACTTCCAGCCACCTCTGAAGCAGGTCCCTGTCATGACATTTGGAGAGCAAGTGTGGCCCTCAGCCTACAAAAGATCTCCTTTCATTGTTCCACTATGCTGGCTCTCCAGTCCAGGGGTAAATGTGGATCCCAGGAAACATTTGCAATGCTGTGAGGTAAGAAAATATTGCATCGTGACAGCCCATGGTTCCAATTATGCAGACAATGATTGAAGGGTGCAGTCTTCAAATAATAAGCATATGTATGCATCCTAATTCTGTTGCCTATAATTCCCTCAAAATAAGTGTGAATTCATTCTCTGGCAGATCATATTTGTATCTTTCTGAAAACAACTCATGAATCAAAATGCTGATTTCTTTTTTTAAGGACTATGAAACTGCTAATATTTTGACATTATATAAAGAGTAACATTCTCATTAGCGTTCAGTGGAGACATTGACTAGAATTCTGAGATTTTGTGCTGTACTTTCTCCCCACTCCCTTCATCTCCAAAGCCCTGGGGATGCTGCACATTAGGTGAAGATGGTGGGGCAGGGCGAGGTTGTTTATTCTTTCCCCTCCAGTTATTTTTCAGCTCAGAAAATCACCTCGCCAACCTGTTTTTCACGCAGGAGTGGAAAGAAGCATGGAAACTATGGGAATTCCACAGGTGAACAAGCAAGCTGGGCAAGCGTGAGCTGGAAATGGCTCAGAGGGAAAGGGGTTATGCACCCTCTTCTGACATTCCTGCCCTCTGCACTGACAGACAACCCAAAGAGAAAATAAAGCAACATCTTGGCTGAGCCAAAGAGAAAGAAAATGCTAATTCTGTGATATTACTACTTTAGAGGTTTTTAAAAATTATTATCTCTTTTAGTTTGGCCTCAATGAAGGCAACATCTGAGCAGAGAGAACTGAAATACCATTATAGTCACAGTGGTTAAAATGAATAGTCTTGGAGTAGAATTACAAGGTGTGTTTGAGCCGTGTCTGTAGGCAACACTTGTATGTGGGGAGCCCCCACACCCATTAAATTGGCCCTTCAGATGTTGATGATGTCATGTGGCATCTAGACCTTTATTGAGGTCAGATGGTCATTAAGTAATAGGTAACTAAGCTATTTATCTATGAAGGTGCATTTATAAATATGAAATGGGGGAAAAGGCTGTAGAGTAACATTAAAAAAACAAGAAATCTGCACTGTCATCATTTCAGCATATAGTGCTTTAGGGCAAGTTAAGAATCAGGGAGAATTTTGTTTTTCTCATCACTCTTACACAATTTTGAGGGAGGGGTACCTTTTTTTCTGGCTGAAGCCACTTGAGTTGATTTGACAGTTTGCCTGAAAAACAAACTGGCCAGATGAGAAACCCCTTTTCCAGATCTTGTTGTGGTTGGGTTCCAGAGGGAAATAATCCCTAGGCAAACCGTAGGTCACACCAGATTAACAGGAAAGACCGGACTCTATAGGAACAGATTAACACTTTGAAGTGCATCCTAATTAAAACCAACTTAGAGCAAGTAGCATTGTTCATTGTTCATGAAATGAAAGAATTAAAAATCCCAAACGCTGGGCAAAGGTATCGTAATACCTTTATTACGATATGTAATATCGTAGTTGACTGGCTGACTGGAGGAGAAAAAAAAAGTTAGAATTTCCTTCCCAGAAGTGGGTTGTCGATGCTGGGTCTGAAGGAAGACATGCCTGCTGTTCTTTGCCTAACTAGGTTACTGCAGTCTAACCTGTGTGGGATTATCCTTTGAAGAAAGGATGGGGCTATTAAGGAGTGTTCAGGACATGTTAGAACTTTGTGCTTTGCAGTGAAAGCGCCTAAGGAAGGACAAGCATGTCCTGAATAAACTACGTTATTATGATCTTTATCTTTCTAAGATCCCTTGTAAGGTATGGAGCGTAACATCTGAGCACCTTTTAAAATTACCTGGCTCATTCTCACAACACCCTTTTGGATGGTAAGGAAGTGATGTCAGTCTCTTCCAGTATCCACCCCACCATAGCTCCACCATACTGCAGGGAAGCTGGTGGGCCCAAACCAATCCGAACCAAAATATGAAATTCCACACCCAAAGCCACAGAATGAATGTGGCACGGTAGGAAACTCAACTGAGGTTCCCTGCCCTACATTGTTATTGCTGCAGTCTTATTTTAACAGAACTGTTGTCAGTTTGATCCACCCTAGCATCTTCTATTGTCTTCTTTCTTTCTTTCTTTCTTTCTTTCTTTCTTTCTTTCTTTCTTTCTTTCTTTCTTTCTTTCTTTCTTCTTCTTCCTTTCCTTCTTCCCT